AGGGACTTCACCTCAGACGTTTTCTCTGAAACACATGAAAGTTGATGCAGGACTGTAGCAGGACGCCACACACAGCACACTGGATACACACAAACATTAAACACAGTCTAAACAACGACACAATAAGATCTTACCACAGTAACGCACGTCGATCTGATCACGGGTCACATGGCCCATCTCCTCCTGCGTGGCTACACAGAGGAAGAGGCTGCTGTTTGTCCTGGTCACCGTGGTGAGGAGGGTGATGTCATAGCGCTCTCCTGTGCGTGACACCTGTGGCTCCTCAGCAGGAAGGATGTTCCCATCGCTGTCCCTCCACTCTACTTTAGGCTTTGGAGAAGCTCCTCTGACCTCACACTTCAGCAGCGCCTCGTCCTCGCTGATGTTCAGGATCCCAACAAACGGCTTCGGAGCTGCACCTGTGAACACAGCATGAAGCTGCAGTTACAGCACAAATGTGCTGTCATGCTCTCATGTCCTTCTCTTTCCTGATGGAGATGTCGACACATCGTGTGTGAGAGCAGAGAAATAACAACCTTTACTACATGTTACAGCAGAGTTTGGGAGGACTTTCATTTATCAGCACAAACAGGAAACGTCCTGAGTCCAGCTTCACAGAAGTAAAAATGATGTCATCATTATTGAGCTTTCAGACAGGTTGATTTGTTAGACTGTGACCCAGAGTGTGACCTTACAGACTGATCAGAGAAATCTGAAGGCTTGACTGAGAACATCACTGATTTCTACATCTGCGCTCTGTGTGCTACGACTCTGTGCCCCAGAGGGAACGTACCATTACTCACACATTTGGACACCAGCACAGGTTTGATCCCAGTCCACACAGCAGCCTCTACAAACTGCACATGTAGAGCTCAGTGACATCAGAGTCAGGCTCAGCACCGACTCCTCTGATGTACAGGGTGGGCCATTTCTATGGATACTCCGTAACAACATGGGAATGGTTGGTGATATTAAAGTCCTGTTTGTGGCACATTAGTATATGTGAGGGGGCAAACTCCTCAAGATGGGTGGTGACCATGGTGGCCATTTAGAAGTCGGCCATCTTGGATACAACTTTTTTGTTTTTTTTCAATGACGCAGTCAGTTCTTCTTTTACTCTTATGCTGTTTTGTGGATCGCGAGGTTTAAAACTACCAAAGGCGGAAGAGGAAGTAGTTCCTTCCAATGTAGACAATCCAAATGATAAACTACAAATTTGCCCCAAATTACTAAAATATCTATATTTTAATATGAGAATCGATTCTAGAACATAAATTACTGGTATCAGAGGACTCGATATTTCAGTATTGATTAGCACATCACTACAGTTCCTCTTTTTACCACACCCAACTCTGCTGCCGCCTAACTTCCCCTAAAACTCCTAAGTTTCATACACATACGAGTCATTTTTCTTTCATGTTATTACTCTTGATTCATATACATTCTACTCATGCTGAATAGGCCGGGGACTCTCACACTCACAGTCTCACAATTTATCGACAGCTGAGAGGAAGAGGTTGGATAAACTCATCAGGAAGGCCAGCTCTGTTCTGGGATGCAACCTGGACCCAGTGCAGGTGGTGGGAGACAGAAGGACTCGGGCCAAAATAACATCTCTGATGGACAGAGTCTCCCACCACATGCATGTAGATGTTGCTGCAGAGCTGCTTCAGTGACAGACTGCTGCATCCTCACAGACTTCATTTCAACAAACTGAAAGAAGCAACGGCAGACCGACCGACTGCGGTCTACAGCGGGGAGCCAGTGTTGCCAACTCCTCAGTAAGGAAAATCGCTATTGGCTGTCCTAAAAGTCGCTAGAAGTCGCTAAATGACGTCATCGCCTAATTTGCATAATTGGTCATGCTAATCTAATTGTAACCTATGTTGTTGGAGAGAGAAATAACATCGTGGAAGAGACATAAAGTGAGTAAAAAACGTCCTAAATGCATTTAGAGTTTATTTAGAACTACAAATTAAATTTCTTTTAGCAATTATTGTTTTTTTTAATGTCACAATTCCAACCCTGCTCCTTTACCCGGGCTTGGACCGGCAAAAGTGACCCGAAATAGGCGCTCTGGTGGAGTTACTTTGTGTGTGTGTTTATAAGTAGTTTTAAACCTTGTGATCCACAAAACAGCATAAGAGTAAAAGAAGAACTGACTGCGTCACAGTCAGTGCGGAGCAGCGGCTTCGCTCATGCGCGATTCATTTGCAGTTCAGACGCACAGGCGTGAACATCTCCTGCCCTGATAGCAGCGGGGGGAGGACTATCCTCCGCCCGTGAGCGCTTTGGAACGGGCGAGGTGCCCACGGCAGCACCGCTGCTTGTTGAGAGTAAGAGCGATCCGCGCTTTCATGTCAAAAAGTCGTCATAAATAAGTCTCCAATAACACCAGAAAAAGTCGCCAGATTTGTCGCTAGTCGCTTTTTAGAAAAAAAGTCGCTAAGGGGTCTGAAAACTGGCTAAATATAGCGACAAAGTCGCTAAGTTGGCAACACTACAGGGAGCTGGTCGGTCGGGGAGATCGTTGGTCGTGGAAGGGGCGGGCCGTGGGCCGTCGTCGGTCGGGGAAAGGGCGGGCCGTCGTCGGTCGGGGAAAGAGGCGGTCCGTCGTCGGTCGGGAACATTTCTGTCGGTCGGGAGCTTTTTCGCCGTATATAAAGCCCGGTCAGCTCGCGCTCTGTAACTCTCCTCTCGTCTTCGCTCGCAGCAGCTCCCCGCTCTTGGCCGATCCGTCTGCCGTTGCTTTTTTCAGTTTGCTGAAATGAAGTCTGTGAGGATTTTGTGCATCTGTCTCCTGACTGTATCTGCAGTTATAGGAAATGAAAAGTGTAAGAAAACTAATGACAGTAAATATTTAAAGCTCTGAGCGAAAATATTCTAAATTTCTGCAGGAATGAGGAATTGGATCCTTTTATTGCTCACTTTAAGTACATCTGGGTGGTCTTACAGTACTTGGAGTAAAAGTACTTAAAGAAAACTTCTGTCTGCAGTTTTTGGAGCTCATTTGAAATATTCTGTTGCTTTCTGGTACAGTCAGCAGCAGTTTAGACTGATAAACACGGATCAGTAGAATACAATAGAATAAGGATGGAGTTCAGTGATAGTTGTTGGAGAGAAGCTGCTCCAGCAGCAGGTGAACCTTCTTCAGTATCCTGAGGAAATAAAGTCTCTGCTGGGTCTTTTTTTTTTTTACAATAGCAGCAGCTTCTCTGATCATTGAAGCTCCTCTTTGATGGAAACCCCCCAAAATTTAAAGCAAAGCACTCTCTACCTCCTCTACCTGAACACCCCTCTGTGTCGCCTCAAATCTATTTTTTTATTGATTATATTTAACACTAAAATAGTGCTGTGACTGACAAAGTGGGGTTTCTGTTTCTAACAGTGTGTTAAAGCAGTGCAGAGAAGCTGTAATGACTGTAACGTCTCCAGGAATGTGTTTTAACAGACATCAGTATTATTGATAAGATTATGAGGATTAATGATGGTACACATAAATGTTAATGTGAGGAAAAATGTTATTTCACAGTAAGTTGTTTTATACATTTACATGAAACATAGTATGATAGATGGGCAGAACTTTGTAATTTGAATTGAACTTATTTAAATTCAGTTTCTAATGGCACAAAGTTCTGCCCACAGCACAGCTTCTATTTAGAAGTATTAAAGCAATGAGGACATGCCTTAAACCTGTATTCTATCAGAAGCAACCAGATGGCAAAAGTTTATCCCAAAAGGTTGATTCTGATCACCTGTTCACGTGCTTCATTCTTCAGGTCCAGGAGTCACAGTGGTTGTCTCAGAAGAAAGTGATGTCATCTTACCCTGCTCCCTCAGCACCAATCAGAACCTTGAACAGAAGCTGTTTGATTGGAGGAAAAAAGCACCAAATAAACAGGAGGTCTTCATGTATGATGGAGGCCTTCATTACAATAATGGACGTCGAGGTCAAGACGAGCACTTCAGAGGACGGGTCTCACATTTCCCACAAGAGCTGCAGTTTGGTAACGCCTCCATCATCATCAGAAACACCACGGTGGCTGACAGTGGAGTCTACACCTGTGATTTTCCACATCTGCAGCCAGAACAAAGGTTCTGCATGAAACTTGTTGTTGGTGAGTAGAAAGCATCGTGAAAATAAACCCTTTAATAACTCTGCTGGAAGCTGTCACCTCATCAGTTTGTTACCTGAACCAAGAGATGCTCACAAAGGTGATGCAGAAACATCAGCTCCATCATGAGTTCACGATGCTGTGTGAAAAAACACATGTTTAATTTTTGCCTTTCAGAACTCACCTTGAAAGATCGATCAGGAGAAATCCCAGGTGAGTGATGATGTCACTGATGTGTGCATCTGTAACCTGTTATAAAGTTACGTTGAAACCAAGCACACCATTATTTTTCTTGTGACATTACCAATAAGTGTGATGTGTCACATGGCCCTCTTCCTATTGGAAAAACAAAAGTTGAATCCAAGATGGCCGACTTCTAAATGGCCACCGTGGTCACCACCCATCTTGAGGAGTTTGCCCCCTCACATATACTAATGTGCCACAAACAGGACTTTAATATCACCAACCATTCCCATGTTGTTACGGAGTATCCATAGAAATGGCCCACCCTGTACATCAGAGGAGTCGGTGCTGAGCCTGACTCTGATGTCACTGAGCTCTACATGTGCAGTTTGTAGAGGCTGCTGTGTGGACTGGGATCAAACCTGTGCTGGTGTCCAAATGTGTGAGTAATGGTACGTTCCCTCTGGGGCACAGAGTCGTAGCACACAGAGCGCAGATGTAGAAATCAGTGATGTTCTCAGTCAAGCCTTCAGATTTCTCTGATCAGTCTGTAAGGTCACACTCTGGGTCACAGTCTAACAAATCAACCTGTCTGAAAGCTCAATAATGATGACATCATTTTTACTTCTGTGAAGCTGGACTCAGGACGTTTCCTGTTTGTGCTGATAAATGAAAGTCCTCCCAAACTCTGCTGTAACATGTAGTAAAGGTTGTTATTTCTCTGCTCTCACACACGATGTGTCGACATCTCCATCAGGAAAGAGAAGGACATGAGAGCATGACAGCACATTTGTGCTGTAACTGCAGCTTCATGCTGTGTTCACAGGTGCAGCTCCGAAGCCGTTTGTTGGGATCCTGAACATCAGCGAGGACGAGGCGCTGCTGAAGTGTGAGGTCAGAGGAGCTTCTCCAAAGCCTAAAGTAGAGTGGAGGGACAGCGATGGGAACATCCTTCCTGCTGAGGAGCCACAGGTGTCACGCACAGGAGAGCGCTATGACATCACCCTCCTCACCACGGTGACCAGGACAAACAGCAGCCTCTTCCTCTGTGTAGCCACGCAGGAGGAGATGGGCCATGTGACCCGTGATCAGATCGACGTGCGTTACTGTGGTAAGATCTTATTGTGTCGTTGTTTAGACTGTGTTTAATGTTTGTGTGTATCCAGTGTGCTGTGTGTGGCGTCCTGCTACAGTCCTGCATGAACTTTCATGTGTTTCAGAGAAAACGTCTGAGGTGAAGTCCCACTGTGGAGTCGGTGTGCTCATAGGTTTGTGGTTTTCTGGAGTTCTGACTGTCGCTGCAACTCTGGCTCTATCTGTAGCTGCACAGTGCATCAGAAAACACAAGAAAGGTGAGTTAGAATAATGGATTTATTATTTATGATTTATTTCATATACCTGTAAGGTTAGACAGCCATATAACAGATGATTTGATCAGTGTCGAGTTCACATTCCTGACATTTTATGTTTGAATTTTCTGCTTTAAACAGGAAAATAAAAACTCATAATTATTAATAATGAATAATCCTGGTGTACACACTAAGTCAGAGTGTGCACAGCAGGATTATTCTGATAGTTTCAGGCACGTTCATGTCAACATGGAGCTGTTCATCTTCACATGATGCCACCAAACTTTATCAGTTAATATTCAAGGTTCTGAGCATTAAATCATCATTTTATTCTGACTACATGTTTTTGTACCACAGTTACCACAAACTGCTGCTTCTCTCCATCTGTGAGTAAAGCAGAGACATGATGTTATAATCTCATCCTTCATGTTCTCACTTTTTCTGCTTTTGCAGCTTCTCAGAGAAACCAGAGAGACGATCCTTCTAAGGAAGCTTGTAACGGTGACGCTTCACTCACAAACTGTTTAACATCACAGCTGTAGTGTGTCTGTATATTTCAGGGGAAATGGATTCATATCTCTGAGGTCAACATTACTTTTTTAATATTGTGTATTTTCATTCCTTTTATTGTTTTCTGTCTCGTTGTGTCTCCATGTTTCTCACTGCTGTCTGTGAGGAGTCAGTGAGATCATATTGATCCTATCAACTCTGTTTCACTCCAAAATCTCAGGGACTCGAACCACAAGGAGCAGATTCACCACATAATGCCTTAAAAATGAGCAGAAAGCCAACTTTGAACACAAAGGCAGCTTATGAAATGTGGTAATAATGGCTGCTGTGTGTTAAAGTGGTGGATATGAAGGTGCTGACTGCAGGTGCTGGTGATCCTGCACAAACTGGTTCTACTTTTGTAGATGTCAGATGGTTGTAAACATCAGTGCAGCAGAGATTCTTCATTCAGGGAAACTGACTGTATGTCAGTGAAAGCTTTTAGAAGTTTGGTCACATCTGTTTGTTAATTTCTCAGGTTGAAAAACTGTTTTTATTCAGAGTCATCAGCAGCTGTGCCTTTCACAGTGATGAAGTTTGTGCTGTTAAAACTCATCATGATGTATTTAAGAATCAAGCTGCTTTCAAAATGATGGATATTTTTGTGTTTTTTATGATTTTATGAAGCAGTTTGATGCTGATTTTATAATATTTGTATCGCACTTTTTAAAGTCTTGCAAATAAACACATTAAACTCTAAACTCAACTTTTTCTCGCTCAGCACCACAAAGCTTAATTATTACTGTCCATAAATATAGAAATCATTTATCATTTGTAAATTCTTTTCAAATGATAAAAATAAAGATTTTAAATTGTATTTTTCTGATTTTGTTTAATAAAGAAGTGGGGAAGGTTTGACCATGTGATACAACTACTGCATACAGTTAGATCCATAAGTTCTGGGACTAATTTTTGGTAACCTTGCCTCTGCACAAACACTCAGGACTGATTGACCTGCACACTTTCAGTGGCGCCTACTGTGGCGCAGCAGTTGGGCCTCCTCCGCTGTCTCTGCGCACTGACACTTAAGCCCCTCCCTCTGCACTTGCGTTTCGGTCTGTCGTCGCTTTCATCAGTTTTGTTGAAGTGAAGTGAAATGGTAGTTTTTACGTGCATTCAAAGTTCACCATGCCAATCTTCGTTTCCATTTATATTAGTGAGACATTTATTTCCTTTGCAATGTCCGTTTTATTTCTTTTTGGTTTATTTATTTCTGATGTTTGCGCTGTGGACAGTTTCAAAATGAAGCGATAAAAATCTGAGTGGGAGAGGCAGATAAATACAGATCACAAGGGATGAAATTTCTCCACACACACACACACACACACACACACACACACACACACACACACACACACACACACACACACACACGGTGAATCACAGCCTGAATGAGACGAGCGGTGTGGCGCTATTTATTTACCTGGCGGAGCGCACCACGCATGCGCATGTTTGATTTTTCTCTAGCATTTTCAGAGTGAATTTAAGAACATAAAAAATCTGACATTTCTTACACGCAGCTTCCGGCTCTCTCCTCTTTAATGTGTTTTCTCTCCTTTTCCTTCTCTCCCGTGGAAAAAGCTTGGACAGCTTCATGTCTGCTGGGACGAGGTGCTGAGAGTGGGTCACTTCTGCTGTGTTTAAATTAGCAGTCATGTGACACTTCTTTGAAGAGCTGATGATCAAACTGAGGCAAAGCATTTAAAAACAGAATGACAACATCAAGTGCATCAACACTTTTCCAAAACTCAAATTAATCCAGATACAATTAAGAATCAGACAGAAATCCTCTTGTTAAATGGCCACAATCATATTATTAGTGGCTCAGCAGGTCTCTCAAGACTATCCGGTGTGTAGGCTGAAAGAAGCCTATTGTATTATTAAAAATTAGCTGGCAAGTCTGCCTCTTCTTCTGTGTATGTGTTCATCCAGTTTGTGTGTAAATGTTTCTGATGTTTTGATATTAAAATGGCACCTTTTAGCTTCCATTTCCTGTCCCGTCTTCCACAGCCAGCATGTGCCTTCCCCTCTCCCTCCCTGCAGAGGAGGGTTTCACTTTTCTCTCTTCTTTATAATTGATTATTTTCTCTCACCCTCTCTCAGCTCCTCGTCTCAAAGTGGGAGGGATTAGAAGCACACAAGGAGGAACTTGTCGTTTGGTTGGCTGATATGGATGTCTGCCTGAGTGAGGTTGACCAGCTGACAGGAAACACCTGTGAAAAACTGATACAACGGCTTGTTTATATATGAAATGTATTTGATATGATACATATGTAAGAGACATTGTCCTGAACTGGACTAATGAAGGACCATGAGTCCAACATGAAACTTACCTTACATAACGTAAGGCTGAAGTTCATTGATAATCTTACTCAAAAACTTGTTGAAATATTTTTACTGAACATGCAAACATCTGCTGATGAAAATGTGTTGATGTATTGGTCTGTTATGAAGCTATTGCTATTTCTAATGTGTTTTTATCACTTTCTGGTGTTTTATTAATTAAACAATACATGTATTAATTGTTGTGTTATCTTAGTTCGGTTTTTATATGTATTTATTTATAGTCTAGTAAAAATATTTAATTATTACTGTTTAAATGACTAATATGTGACATGTATTAGTAGTGATGTTGTGCTGAGGGTTAAAATGCCTTTTTGTCTTTTGATATACAACGAAATGGCAATAAACCATTAATATATGTCTATGTGCTTGTATTTATTTTCCCCTACTCAAATACAATTTATGGTACATTTTATTTTGAAAGATTTAAAATGGTTCTTTAAAGAACCACTCAAAAGGACATCACGTCTGACACTGTGGTCAGCAGCACAGGAGCACCACAGGGAACTGTGCTGTCCCCTCTTCTCTTCACCCTGTACACCTCTGACTTCTGCTACAACTCTGAATTATGCCATATTCAGAAGTTTGCAGATGACACAGCCATCATGGGGTGTATCTGGATGATCAGGAAGAGGAGTACAGAAGTCTGGTGAGGAACTTTGTCACATGGAGTCACGCAAACCACCTGCAACTCAACACCTCAAAGACTAAGGAACTGGTTGTGGACTTCGGGAGGTCCAGAGCAGGTCCACTGCCGGTTCAGATAGTGGGTGAGGAGGTGGAGGTTGTCAACACATACAAGTACCTCGGGCTGTGGGTGGACAACAAACTGGACTGGTCATGCAACACAGAGCACCTGTATAAAACAGCCCAAAGCCGACTGTACTTCCTCAGGAGGCTGAGGTCTTTTAACATCTGCAGAAAGCTCCTGAGGATGTTTTACCAGTCAGTGGTTGCTGGAGTACTTTTCTATGCTGTGGTGTGCTGGGGGAGCAGCACAGCAAAGAAGGACTCATCCAGGCTGGAGAAACTGATCAGGAAGGCTGGCTCTGTGGTCGGCATGAAGCTGGACACTCTGGTGACAGTGGCAGAGAAAAGGACACTAAAAAAACTGCTGGACATTATGGACAATGCTGGGCATCCTCTGCACACAGTCGTAAACAACCAGAAGAGTCTGTTCAGTGACAGGTTGCTTCTCCCAAAGACAAGAACCAACAGACTAAAAACTCCTTTGTCCCACACGCCATCAGACTGTTTAACTCCTCTCTGGAGGGGAGAGGGAGGGGAGACAGGAGGACAAAGGAGGGGAACAACTAAGCTGTACTGTGCAATACTTTTTGTTAATAACCAACGGTGCAATAGACTCACAATACTTGAAATGTGCAATTCCCTTGTATTCTTTTTCCTATTTATTCTATTTATCCCTTTGTATACTCTGTATTTATATGTCTCTGAATTTATATATGTGTATATATGGTATATTTCTGCTCACATTCTGTAACTTCTGTCGGTGCTGTGCTATTGGAAACTGAATTTTCCGGAGGAACCCCGAGGGATTAATAAAGTTTTATCTAATCTGATCAAAAAAGGTCCTTTAAATTGTTTCTTTATAGACCCGTTTTTAAAAAGGTTCTTTGAAAAACCATTAATGGTGCCCCAAAGAACCATCAAGAAATGGTTCTTTGGGGCACCATTAAAGATTCTTCAATGAACTACTGAAAGAAATGGCTCTTCGTCAGAACCATTGTTTGAAAGGTTCTTTGTGGCGCTAAAAAAAGGGTCTTCTATCAGTCTAAAGAAACACTTTTGGTTCCAATTGGAACCTTTATTTATCTGATTCTGATATATAGAAGACACATTTATTTGTAAATGTTTTTAAAACCTTTAATCTTTTTAGTGCATTTGAAGCTGACAAGTCACCTGATAGATCACATGACCCAGCCACAGCTGGACACACCTCTGCTCTAGGGCAAATCAGTTTGATTAGCCGAACTGAGTCGGTGTCACGTAGAAGTAGGCCACATCATCACGTGTGATTCGGCCTATTCGACTGTAGACCACGTGTGATGCGGCCTACAGTAGAAGCGATTGGCCGATCTGAGTCGGATTCAAGCCTACAGTAGAAGTAAGGCTAATACACGTGATGTGGCCTACTTCTACGTGATGCCGACTCAGATGGTCAAGAGCGGAGGTGTGTCGACACGCTTGTGATGCGGCCTACTTCTATTGTAGACGGAGGTGTGTCGGCTTTTTGCCGACTCGGTTTGATTGGCCGATCTGAGTCGGCGTCACGCCTGTATATAAGTACGCCGCATCTCGCTTCTGCGCATATCTTCCTGCATCACTTTTAGTGCTACCCATCGGGCTGCTGTTGCTTTTATCAGTTTGTTGAAATGAAGTCTTTGAGGATTTTATATTTGTGTGTCTTTATCCTGACTGTATCTGCAGTCACAGGACATGAAAACGGTAAGAAAACTAATGACAGTAAATATTTAAAATGTACAACTTGGAGTGAAAATATCTCCTAAATTACTGTAGAAATGAACTGACAGAACATTGACGGGGGGATTTTATCCTTTTTGTTAGAAAAACAGTGAAACCACAAATTGAAACCGCTCACTGGAAGTACATCTGTGTGATCTTACTGTACTTGGTAAAAGTACTTAAAGGAAACTTAAAGAAAATGTCTCCTCTCTATTGTTTGGTTGGGATAGAAGCTGCTCCAGCAGCAGGTGAGCCTTCTTCAATATCCTGAGATAATAAAATCTCTGCTGGGTCTTTTTTATAATAGCAGCAGCTTCATTGATCATTGAAGCTCCTCATTGATGAAAACTCACAGAAATTTAAAGCAAGGCACTTTCTACCTCCTCACCCCCTATGTCCCTCTCTGTCGCCTCAAATCAGTTATGATTTTTTTTAAATTAATTATAAGTAACACTAAAATACTTCTGTGACTGACAAAGTGGGGTTTCTGTTTCTAACAGTGTGTTAAAGCTGTGCAGAGAAGCTGTAATGACTGTAACGTCTCCAGGAATGTGTTTTGACAGACATCAGTATTATTGATAAGATTAATAATGGTACACATAAATGTTAATATGAGAAAAAAATATAATTTCACAATAAGTTGCTTTACACATTTGCCTGAAATATAGTATAATAGATCCACAAAGAGTCTATTTAAAAACATGAAACCAATGAGGAAAATTAACCTACACCTGTATTCTATCAGAAGCCACCAGATGGTGATAGAGCTTAACCTATCACAGACATATCACTGACCTGAGCTACAGACAAGTGAAGTAAAACATCTGAACACACTGAGTCTGAGCTACAGTCAAACTATGAACTGCATATTTCAACATACTGAATCAAACATGCTTCATTCTTCAGGTCCAGGAGTCACAGTGGTTGTCTCAGAAGAAAGTGATGTCATCTTACCCTGCTCCCTCAGCACCAATCAGAACCTTGAACAGAAGCTGTTTGATTGGAGGAAAAAAGCACCAAATAAACAGGAGGTCTTCATGTATGATGGAGGCCTTCATTACAATAATGGACGTCGAGGTCAAGACGAGCACTTCAGAGGACGGGTCTCACATTTCCCACAAGAGCTGCAGTTTGGTAACGCCTCCATCATCATCAGAAACACCACGGTGGCTGACAGTGGAGTCTACACCTGTGATTTTCCACATCTGCAGCCAGAACAAAGGTTCTGCATGAAACTTGTTGTTGGTGAGTAGAAAGCATCGTGAAAATAAACCCTTTAATAACTCTGCTGGAAGCTGTCACCTCATCAGTTTGTTACCTGAACCAAGAGATGCTCACAAAGGTGATGCAGAAACATCAGCTCCATCATGAGTTCACGATGCTGTGTGAAAAAACACATGTTTAATTTTTGCCTTTCAGAACTCACCTTGAAAGATCGATCAGGAGAAATCCCAGGTGAGTGATGATGTCACTGATGTGTCAGTGTTGGGACTAACGCGTTATTAAGTAACGCGTTACAGTAACTACGTTATTATTGTGGTAACGAGCACGGTAACTAGTTATTATGCCAAAATCAGGAACGCGTTAGTCGTTACTGGGATTTAGATAGGGTCGTTACTCGTTACTTCGTGTGGTGGCTATCGCGGAGCTTCCACAGATTCAGTAACATTAGCAAGTGGTGGAGGCAGCAGGTGGATGAAGGAAAAGGGACGCAGAAGGAAAAGAGACCCGAGGCGGCCGCCGGTCCAAGTGTGAACTGAACTTCAGGTAAGAAGTTATGACCTGCAGTCTCTCTGGGTCAGATATGAACCAAGTTTAGGTGGAGTTTATTTTCGTTATTCTGACTTTTTCCGTACTGCGTGCTAGCTAGCATGACGGAGTTTCTATACAGCTGGGTGGTGCTATGAAGTTAATGATGTTGAACTTTATTTTGTTCATAAGTTATTAGAGTTGCCAACCGTCCCGTCTGGTATTCAGAGAAAATATTACGCGTTTCTTATTGAGGTGAAAAGGAACAGTTTGTCCCGTAATTCAGCTACAATGAAAAAGACACAAAGCTGGAGTTATTCATCAGAGTGATGGAGAAACAGGTTTACCTTTTAGGTGACATGAAAGAGTTGAAGGGAAGTTATGAACTGTTTCTGAGAGACAAATAACACCAGGATCCTTTTTTGTGTAGCTGACAGCTGGTAACTGTGCAGGGGCGGGTCTAGCAAAGTGTTGCCAGGGGGGCCAGGTAGGGCATTAACAGGGAGAGGGGGGCACAAAGAAATACTTTTCTTTCTTATTCTCATTTAAAATGTCTAGCTTTTAAAAAATAATTATCTGAATCTTACAACAAACGATTGATAGATTGATGCATATATACCATCAGAACAGTGACATCACTGTCACAACAGCGTTTGTTTTCATTCAAAGGCTTTATGATTTTTCCTATAATGGTGGGCCGGTCTCTAGTCAAAATGCCCGGGCCAATTTTCTGTCCCAGTCCAGCCCTGTATGCAGCTCATCTGCAGTCTGGTGTTGCCTACATCTTCCTATTCAGAAGGCAGAATTTCCGAGTTCTGAGTACAATCGAAAGCACCACGACTGCAGTTTTTGTGTTGGATGTAAAAAGCAGGCTAGGATAGAATCAGGCGTGGGATTTCTCTCGTGGAAATGTGCACATTATTTTTTCCTTTCTATTGGTAGGTGGCACAGTGCACTTGTGGCAAGTAAGCAAGCTAGAAGACTGGCAAAGTTATGGAAGAACACATTAACAAGAGAATTCTGAGTAAAACCAAAGTTACTTTCCCTAGTAACTAGTTACTTTGAAAGTAACGAGTAACTTGAAGTAACTGAGTTACTTTTGAGAGAAGTAACTAGTAATGTAACTAAGTTACTATTTTAAAGTAACTTACCCAACACTGCTGATGTGTGCATCTGTAACCTGTGTGAGTGGTTAGAGACCTGCTGAAATGTGACTTTGGTCAGATGTACATCAGATCTGTGGTTGTGTCAGTAACGACCGATGAAGAGGAGTCGGTGCTGAGCCTGACTCTGATGTCACTGAGCTCTACATGTGCAGTTTGTAGAGGCTGCTGTGTGGACTGGGATCAAACCTGTGCTGGTGTCCAAATGTGTGAGTAATGGTACGTTCCCTCTGGGGCACAGAGTCGTAGCACACAGAGCGCAGATGTAGAAATCAGTGATGTTCTCAGTCAAGCCTTCAGATTTCTCTGATCAGTCTGTAAGGTCACACTCTGGGTCACAGTCTAACAAATCAACCTGTCTGAAAGCTCAATAATGATGACATCATTTTTACTTCTGTGAAGCTGGACTCAGGACGTTTCCTGTTTGTGCTGATAAATGAAAGTCCTCCCAAACTCTGCTGTAACATGTAGTAAAGGTTGTTATTTCTCTGCTCTCACACACGATGTGTCGACATCTCCATCAGGAAAGAGAAGGACATGAGAGCATGACAGCACATTTGTGCTGTAACTGCAGCTTCATGCTGTGTTCACAGGTGCAGCTCCGAAGCCGTTTGTTGGGATCCTGAACATCAGCGAGGACGAGGCGCTGCTGAAGTGTGAGGTCAGAGGAGCTTCTCCAAAGCCTAAAGTAGAGTGGAGGGACAGCGATGGGAACATCCTTCCTGCTGAGGAGCCACAGGTGTCACGCACAGGAGAGCGCTATGACATCACCCTCCTCACCACGGTGACCAGGACAAACAGCAGCCTCTTCCTCTGTGTAGCCACGCAGGAGGAGATGGGCCATGTGACCCGTGATCAGATCGACGTGCGTTACTGTGGTAAGATCTTATTGTGTCGTTGTTTAGACTGTGTTTAATGTTTGTGTGTATCCAGTGTGCTGTGTGTGGCGTCCTGCTACAGTCCTGCATGAACTTTCATGTGTTTCAGAGAAAACGTCTGAGGTGAAGTCCCACTGTGGAGTCGGTGTGCTCATAGGTTTGTGGTTTTCTGCAGTTCTGACTGTCGCTGCAACTCTGGCTCTATCTGTAGCTGCACAGTGCATCAGAAAACACAAGAAAGGTGAGTTAGAATAATGGATTTATTATTTATGATTTATTTCATATACCTGTAAGGTTAGACAGCCATATAACAGATGATTTGATCAGTGTCGAGTTCACATTCCTGACATTTTATGTTTGAATTTTCTGCTTTAAACAGGAAAATAAAAACTCATAATTATTAATAATTAATAATCCTGGTGTACACACTAAGTCAGAGTGTGCACAGCAGGATTATTCTGATAGTTTCAGGCACGTTCATGTCAACATGGAGCTGTTCATCTTCACATGATGCCACCAAACTTTATCAGTTAATATTCAAGGTTCTGAGCATTAAATCATCATTTTATTCTGACTACATGTTTTTGTACCACAGTTACCACAAACTGCTGCTTCTCTCCATCTGTGAGTAAAGCAGAGACATGATGTTATAATCTCATCCTTCATGTTCTCACTTTCTCTGCTTTTGCAGCTTCTCAGAGAAACCAGAGAGACGATCCTTCTAAGGAAGCTTGTAACGGTGACGCTTCACTCACAAACTGTTTAACGTCACAGCTGTAGTGTGTTTGTGTGGCGGGGGGGTCACCATTACTTTTTTAATATTTTGTTTTTTCATCCCTTTTATTATTATTTTTTTTTAAATCCGTCTCGTTGTGTCTCCATGTTTCACACTGCAGTCTGTGATGAGTCAAGGAGATCATATTGATTATGTCAACTGTAAGTGTTTCACTCCAAAACCTGCTGCAGGTGCTGGTGATCCTGCAGAATCTGGTTCTACTTTTTAGATGTCAGATGGTAAAAAGCTGCTTTGACTTCTTCAAATATCACTCAGCTTCACGTTGTTGTCACAACAAACCAAAGTTTCCTGCAAACCTTTGACTGTATTTAAACTTGATGAGATTGACTTTTTCTTTTGTCTTCCTGTCGAGTCGACTTGTTGGAGGAACGTCTGTCTGTATTGGAGGTGTTCACATCTGTTTTTAACATTTCTCAGGTTGAAATCTGTTTTTACTCAGAGTCATCAGCAGCTGTGCCTTTCACAGTGATGAAGTTTGTGCTGTTAAAACTGGTATTGATGTATTTAAGAATCAAGCTGCTTTCAAAATGATGGATATTTGTGTATTTTATGATTTTATTAAGCATTTTGACACTGATTTTATAAAATTTGCATCACACTTTTTAAAGTATTCTAAATAAACACTTTTAACTTTAAACTCTGGCATCTTTTTCTGGCTCAGCACCGGGAAGCTTTATTATCACCGTCCATAAATATATAAGAAACATCCGAAATCTTTATCATATGTAGAAAAAAGTGTCCAATGTCAAATGGAGTGACAGATCCAGTTCAGCTTGTGATAAATATACTCACTGTGCTCTTCATCTAATAAACTTAAAGATGGCAGCCTATTGAGTGATACTGTCTGCAGAGGCCGCGAACTAGACGAGCTGCGATGTAGTCATCAAGTCAGCTGTAGCAGAAACACAAAATCTTTACCAGCCAGTAATGTCACAGATGTTTTGATTTGATACTGTTATACGATGCTAGCAGGAATCCATTCGTACGGCTACTTATGACAGAATCAAATCGCAGATTTAGTATATATTAGCACTGGATTGTACTGCAATGTTGTTCATAGCAGCA